GTGGGTGGGGGGGGGATTCATCAAAACTGGAGCCATTGCCCATAGTAGCCAATCAGCTTCTCTCTTCAGGTTGTTCAGTTATGCATTGAAATTGAAAGATTGACGCTAATTGATTGCCATGCACAGCTGCTCCAGTTTCTGTCTTTTCCACTTTGATAATTCCCCCCACCCACCTATTTATTCTATAAATATAACAGGAATACAAAAGAAGAAAACAGTTCTAGATAAAAGAAAAAATAATACACAATCACTGTTTCTATACATGGCACCATGTTGAATTCATACCATTGTCTAAGCCCCTAAATACTCCGTTCTTCTCTTCTTCCGTCTATTACGTTGTCCTTATATGCCACAATGTGCTCACCTTCCTCCCATCATATGGCATTTTTTACCACACTCTTCGTTTTCTACCTATACCACTGTCCTTATATACTACAGCACTCTTTCCTTCCTTATGATGTCCTTTTATACTGCACTCCCCTTTCCTATCCTAGTACCCCTTTATAATGTACTCACCGCACCTTCCTCCTATCCTGCTGCTGTTTTATACTCTCCTCTATATTCTATATCCCTGCAACTATATACTGTACTCTGGTTCCTTCCTCCTATATCCCTTTATACTGCACCAGAGCCGTAGCTAGAGCCTTTTGCGCCTAAGGAGAGAACAGAAAATTGTGCCCCTCAACAGACGTGTGCGGTATGTGACGTCATGCGCCCCGTCTCCAGGATGGCGGTGCGCAGAATGCACTGGTGGCCAAATCCAAATAGCGAAAAAATGTGTTTCGTTCGACCAAATTAATGAAAACATTTTTAGTTTACGTTCATTTTGTGCATGCATGCGTGCGTGCGTGGGGGGTTTGTTTTATTTATTAGTATTTATTTTTTTTGCTATTGAGGGTCTAAAGAGACCCCTGGCATTTCCCTTTTGAAATAGAAAAAGTGATTGAGGACAAAGAGTCCTCTGCCTATACAGGTGGGGGAGAGCAGCGGGGATCTGCGTTGGCCATCTGGTGCTCCTGTTGCCAATGGCAACAGGGGCGAGGGGGCCCAGCCAGGCCGGCCCTGGCTGCACCCCCTCTCGTCTGCGCCTGAGGCGAGTGCCTCACTCGCCCCATGGTAGCTACAGCCCTCTACTGCACTCTTATTTTCTTCCTCCTACCCCCACCTAACCCTTTATGTTGCACTCCACACTTTCCTCCTACCCCCCTGCACCTTTATACTGCATTCTTCTTTTCTTCCTACTATCCCCCCTGCCCCTTTATACTGCATTTTTCTCTCCTTAATTCTGTTACATTGCCCCTATATGCTACACTGTGCTCACCTTCCTCCTATCACACACCCCTTTTTACTCCACTCTTCGCTCCTTCCCACTTGCCCCATATAGTGCACTCTTCTCTCCTTCCACCTATCATTCTGCCCCTATTTACTAGAACAGGGATAGGCAACCTGGGCACTCCAGCTTTGTTTCAACTACAAAACCAATCATGCCTCTGCCTCAGGGAGTCATGCCTGTGACTGTCAGAGCCTTGCAATGCCTCATGGGAGACTTGTAGTTCCACAACAGCTAGAGTGCCAAGGTTGCCTACGCCTGTACTAGAACGTGCTTTCTTTTCTTGTACCATGCATATGCTGTACACACTATAATGTGTTCTTCTGTGACACTACTCCTGTACTTCATCCTATTGTGAGATTTTATATATATATATACATACATATACACACACACACACCCTGTTTCCCTGAAAATAAGACCTACCCCAAAAGTAAGACCTAGCACTATTTTCAAGATTCCTGTAATATAAGACCTACCCCGAAAATAAGACCTAGTTTGGTGGTAGCATGTGAGGGGGAACTTGAAGAGCGGGAGAGATGGTATCAGCCTGCAGGGACATACTGTATTAAGGGAATGACGGGGGACTTCCTCCGGCCAGCGCAGTGACAGGGAGCACTCCAGTACCATACTTCACCAACTGCTGTCCCCCTGAAGGCACTGCTTAATGTAATGGTACTGTAATATGTACCGGTAAATGGCGTTGTCCACTGTCTGATGTCCCCACTGCTGCACCGCTGGTACCACTGTCCCTGATGGCAAAGCATGCCAGCGCTGTAGAAAGCAAGGCTGCGGCGGCGGAGGGAGCAGAGCTGCATAAGCAGATACTTCCTTTATAGCGCCAGTTACTGGTACAGGCGGAGTGATACCAGATAACTTTTGGATTGTTGTACATAAATAACTTTACATTGTTGTACACTGTATTTTGCTCCCCTCTTCACATTTAGTTTATTCTCCCACACTGCTGTCATGCTTCTTTCCTACTTCGCTGTCCTCTGACCTTCAAAGCTGAAGGTGGTTCCAGAAAGTACGGCTCTCCTGGGAAGTCTACCTCATTTTCTAGCTATTCTCTTATCTGTATTTTTCACCTTCTTCTCATATAATACCCAAAGTACTTTTCCCTGTGCTAATTCCCTAATCCTATATACCATTCAGTGCCATCCACAAACTGGTTTATTCCTGTCCTCACTAAATGAGAAAGAGCATAGCTTATGACCACTTTGGCTGAGTTGCAAAATGAAAAAAAAAAAAAAAAAAAAAACATTGAAAAAGTGTCATAAAATACTATCCTTTCCCACAGATGCCAGTTAAGCCCCATGACATTGTGCTGGAAAGTGGAAGCTCTGCTCAGCTCCAAGCTAGGCCAAAGGCTCTCAATCTGTCAGCAAGGAGAACTGAGAGACGCATGTGGAGAAAAGATTTAATAAAAGCTCTGGTTGCAGAGGAGAACATAATTGTGTATGGTATCATGCAGACCTCTTACTAGCTAGCTTCTTTACAACTGGACATTGCCACAGACTGGCACACAGGAGCATCCATCAAAAGTGTGGTTACAATCCCTGCAGGACACTGCTTTGTCTGCTGTATATTCACTCTTCTCCGGGATGCAGCCACTCAGAGCCGTAGGCTCCACTCCAGATCTTAATCTTATAGCCGTGTCTGCCTGCTATTGAGCTCAGCTAAAATATGACATTGGTATAAATATGCTGGCTTCCATAATCTAATAGCATTTGCCAAGATGAATGGCTTTTGTAGAAAGATTTTAGACTGGTGCCCCAGATATTAGTATTGGATTCAGCATCATTCGGTATTTGCTGAAGTCGTTAAAACCGTACAGAGCAATGAATCAAAACAGATTTCCTGCATTAGACAGAAACATGAAAACTGCCATGGAGCATCACCAGCATGATCAGTGTTATTTAATCCTAGGTATTGTTACTGCTAAAAACTAGACAACACTCAGAGAAACGTGTTCAAAAGAAAAACAACTTTTCTCAGCTATACCACTGCCAATGATATTGTATTCATAGAACTGAACAAGGTCAACCATGCATATACAAAACTAGCAAATGCTAGCTGCCTGGCTGTAATGCTGATCCTCTTTCTTCAGTACTTTGGTCAGTGACTCAAAAACAGCTTGCAGATGAGGACTTCTGTATGTACATGTTTAACATCAGTGTTCAAGCCAGAGGATCAACCTGACAGCCAGCAACTAGCATTTTCAAAGGTTTATTTTAATATGTCTGTATTAAAGACACTTCATCAATACACTGAATGAAGTTGAATCATTTACCAAAATATGTACTATATCCATTTTCAGCAAATCTGTTGCTCTCATTTTTTTTTATTGAATCTGGCTAACAAAATCCCTGGTTTCTTAAAAAGTAATTCCTGGTTCCAACTATGCTGCAAGCATACCGCTATAATCATTTAGGACAGGGGTGGCAAACACAAGGCCCGCGGGCCGAAATCCGGCCCGCCGGACCTTGTAATGTGGCCCGCACAGCGCTGCAGAGTTTAATGTACAAGACAAAGGACAAATCTGTAAACTTTTCACCTTCCAGTTTATTATTGGTTTTATTCAGGATCTGCAGCAATGCCCGCACTGAAGGTTACCAATCAGTTCTTTTTCAGAAATAACGTTTTTATTGAATTTTTTACATAAAACACGTAATTTGGCACCTATGAAATCCCTGAGCAAGGTGCATTGTAAAGGTTGCTTTCGTGTTTAAGCAATGATCAGCACCCCGCTGTTGGGGGTAGGCCAGAACTGAAGGCAGGCAACCAAATGAACAAGGCGGTATACAAGCGACAATTACTACAGACAGACTGAAGAGAGGGATACATCCAAAAGTTCACACTTTTGTACATTTACTCGGTAGTTGGATAGACCCCCAAATATTTTAAATTCTTGCAGCACCGAGGGTAGTGCCACCAGTGGATTAGAAAGGTATAACAATAAGTCGTCAGCGTATAGTCCCATTTTGTGGATTTGTTTGCCTATGGAGAGGCCCTGTACCAATCAGTTCTTAGCCAGAGCAAGCAAGTTTCCAGTTATGAATGTAAGTGGTGGGCAAAACTGGCCCCAACTTCATTGCATGCAATGTCTCAGTCATTCCTAGCACACACGAGTAATCATCATGTTGCAGACAGGTTTTATTTCCTTCCATTATTTAGGCCCTGGAACTTTTTAATATATATGAACCCTGTGGCTAATGTAGGTATTAAACTGATGGACAAAAGTAAACATATATCCCATTTTTAAGAGCATAATAGTTTGTCAATTAAAAAAATTATTTTCTCAAATAAAAAAACACAAGTTTTACTTTTTTAAAACTATTTATAAACATTTTTGTTTAAAAAAAAAAGATGTAATACACCTATTACGGGTTTTTCCCCCCCTCTTCAGGCTATCTGCACAGACATGGAAGGGGAGATCTGGAACTCTTACAAATGACTCAGTTGTGTGTTTAGAATTCTACCTGAGCTAATAAGCTCTGTAAGCGCATTCACTGATCTCCTGCAGCCATTTCCTATCTACATGCATGCACTCTAGCGATGGCTGCATGGCATTTCTCAGGGCAGGTTTTCCATCTGTTTGTCATTGACATTTGGCAAATGTGGTAGCTGTAAATACCAAACCCTGTTTTGAATACTGGTGGTTTGCATGAAAACAAATACATAAAAAAATGCCTTTTGACAGCCTTGTGAGAGTTAAGAATGCTGATTATAAAGGCTTTTTGAAGTTGTATAGAAGAAGTGACCGTTGCTTTATATTACACGCGTGATGGATGTAAAGGATATCATACTGCAGTGTAGAATTCTGCTGATTACAGCGGCAGCGAAGAGGTTACACAGAACTGGCTGCACTTTTCTATAGCATTAGAAAACAGGCTGATGGATCTCTGGAGGAATGGTAGTCATCTGCTGGAGCAGGGTTAGGTCACCCATTAACATGTCTGTCTGCAACACCGCATGATCTCAGTTATCAGCCAGGGAATAACATCCCATCATGACTTGTATTAAGTTGCACCGTTTGCGAAGCATTAATGAGCAACCGCAGCACTATTAACAAAAAAGTCTAATTCCTCCCTGTGGCGTGATGTGCTGCCGTTATGAAATATTGATAATGAATATGTTTCCCAACTCAAGTTTGTAGAAATCTGAGAAACAGAACTTGATGTCCTTGAATACATTTCAAGTAAACTGAGATTACACCTCCCCCACTGACATGCATTTAAAAAAAAAAAGGAGTTGACTTAATATGAAATATGTACAGCGAAGTGGAGCTCGGGAGAAAACTCAAAGTTTGCAGTATGCTTGGCATATGTATAAAAAATAAGACAGCTGAATTAAGCCAAGCTAAGGACACAAAACCTCAAATGTTATTTAATATCAGGGAACAAACCTCACTGACTCTTCATCCAATCCCACTCTACTGCAGGCTTCTTAATGCATACTTCAGCTTATTTGTGCATTGCATAGTAATCAAGTTCAGATTTACAATACAGTAGTATGTCCCAGGCCCATGCTTGCAGTATGGCTGCTCTAGCATTTCCAGTAAAGAATGGTATGTGAGAATATATCTGTGATTAGGTAAACGTATCCTATTTACCCAAAAAAGAGGCAAAGTTCACTAGTCATAAAGAGCAAGGGTCTCAAACTCCACTCACTCAGAGGGGCCACTCGACAAATGTATTTCTCCCATGGGGGCAGCCTGCCAAATATCATACTTCAAAATTAAAGTTAACTTTATCCGGTATGGTACTACGGACACCTGTACACACACAATAAGGCACTATTCATACATTATCTGTAAGTTAGGTGCAATTAGGGATTCCTGCATCAGGAAATTGCGTTTTTCTGCAGCAGGAATGCCTAATCAGGTGTTTACGAGCGGCCGCTATAACTTATTTAAGTTAATAAACAGCTCAGAACAGCTGCATGTAAACGCCTGCCCACCGCATGTAATGGTATGTGATATAATTACATGCGGTTAGAAAACACTCTCCCTGGATGCACAATCGATGCACTTTGAGACCCTTGATATAGAATGTGTGCAGGGATGGACATACCATGTGTGCAGACTGCACAGCTACACAGGGGCCCTCTGGGTCTTAGGAGCCTCATATATACTACATGTGGGTCAAATAGATGCTAGGACCCCTGCCAATGTCATGTAGACATGGACACGGCTCACTGCCATCTAGCAGTCAGTTGATAGAGTGCCCAAAATGACACAGGCCCTCTGGTTGCACTGGTTGTGCCACTGCTTCTATGCTAGCCTTTCACAATGGTACCCCCCTTGAACATTTTAGTAAAGAATGCCATATATAAATATTAGGACTCATTTGTAATTAGCAAGGTTTGGTCACAAGCGAGTGGGTTGGTGTGTGTAATACAGTTGTGTTTTCTTTTAATTCCCCCAACTGGTCCCAATACAAACTACATACACAGACAAATTGGCAGCAACTCCTTGAAGCAAGGCAAAGATAATCAAAGTTATACCTTACCTACGTATGACTGCGTGGATTGCCTACAATTGCTTGGGTTTGTGCACACGCAAGGTAGGCTTAAAATCCTCATTTGCAATAAAATGTGAAGTAAAGATTTGCAGCGGCTGCACATCTGGGATTGATGAATGAAAGTCAAAAAGAGGACTGGGCCAGGCAGTTGTAACATCTGCTGTGTTACAACTATAGTGGCTGTTACTGAGCCCTAACCTACCCATGAAAGAATAAGATGTGCAGCTAATGGAATCCGATCTAGTGAACCTGTGTGTAGTAAAGAAATATGGCAAATGACCCAATAGATGAATGGGTAGTGAATGATCATAGAACCAATTACTGTCCACCTAATAAACGTCCCCAAATGCGGCAATAGTAGGCATGATTGGAATTACAATCAAAATACACACCAACCTTAGCATCACTTGTGATCATAATGTAGACATGCAAGTGCATTTAATGCTGGTCAGGGTCAGAGATTTGGAAAATCTTCATAAATACAGCAGGATAGTTTCTTTTTTTCCCCTCTAGAAAATATAGTCATTCTTTCAGTTGGTGTACCGGAATTCGGTGACACCCAGGCTGAGTTGCAGCAGCCAACTGCAATTACACAATGGGGACTCCTACTACCTACAGGAGAACATCCCATCAGTAGCCAGCACAATTCCTATACAGAATGGAGTAGTAAGAAATCTGAGACTATCCATACATGTAGTGTGTATAAATGCGGATCACAATAAGGGGAATTTATCAAAACTGGAGCAGACAAAATCTGGAGCAGATGTGCATGGCAACTAATCAGCTTCTCTCTTTCATTTTCAAATCTTAACTGAACTGAAGAGAGAGGCTGATTGGTTGGCATGCACAGCTGCTCCAGTTTTTGTCAGCTCCAGTTTTGATAAATTCCCCTTAATGTCTTTAGTTTAATATTCTCAGAAACACTTTTATATATAGATGAAAAGCATTGTCATTGTTGATCAATATCTGATTGGTATAAACTCTTTATAGAAAGGCTGCAGTGGAAAACATTATACCAGCATCTGCCAATACACCATAAAATGGCATCTTTTAATATAGGACTTAACATATGGATTAAGCTGGCCATATAATGTTATATTTTTTTTGTTGAACCTGTGGGCTAAACGAAAAAAATGTAAGTGATTCCACAATTTATTCAACATGGTTGATGGCCAAATCTCCCACTGGGCTATTGTAATCTGAGAGTGGGGGGCATGCCGCTGTCAGAATACCAAAACAGTGACGATTGGCTGCCGCCACTGTTCGCCTGAGCATTTTCCATCCAGCTCCTTCAATTTTCTGATCGAAGGATGCCGGACAGAAGGATTCAGTCAGGGGCACCCACTAATTCCTCACACTAATGCTACATGAAATAATAAATTAAAGGATGTTGAACCTCTGCAGTACAGTCTTTGTACAATATGTACATACACTACTGTACATGAAATAATAAAGTAAAGTTTGTTGAGTCCCTGTAGTACCTTGTATGGCTGTTTGAGGACAGACTCTCCCATGGCTGCACACTACAACCAGTGACAGCGAACGCTCCTCCACAGCTGCCGTCCAGCTTCATTAGCAGCGCTTTAGCAGCATTCTCAGCCGTCTTCCTGCAGTCATGTGCTCGCTTTAGCATCTGTGTGATATTCTCATCCCCTGACTGCTCAGCTGCATCACAAAACCAAGAATAACCGTTAAATGTGATCCAAAGTATGCGTACATATCTACCATCTAAGTTACATAAAGTTGTTATAACTTCAGGTTTTGTACATGTTTATCCTGCACTGTTCACCACTAAATCTGCGGAAGGACCGCAGATTTAAATACACAACACGTCCCTGTCAAAAACGTGACACTGAGCAAACATTTTAAAAAGGACTAAGGCAGAAGTTACCTTCATTGAAAACCACATCAAAATAATAAGTAAATCCAGAAATGAGTGGCCACATTTATATGAAAATCTCAACTTTCCGGGTAAAAATTAAGCATGGGGGGCCTCAGAAGTTTGCATGGGGTGAAGCAAGCTCAACTTCTGCAGGAAGACAGCAATTGTATATAAATTCAGTAAACTGTGCTGATCATTTTGACTTGTGGTTTTCACTGATAAAACCTCTGGAATTTGCCATCAGAGACTAACTGTGGCTGCAATCGCTGACCTTTTGATGCCCTGATTATGTTCCCTAAGCCGTTGACCCGTAACAAGTATAGAAATATGGTCTAACACTTATATGACACTCAGTTACAGCACGCTGCTGCACTAAAAAACCTGGAAGTCAGACCTAGCCAGGCAATTAGCATTTTTAGGGGAAGGCCATCAATGGCAGCCCCTGCACATCTTTCATTACAGAGTCACTTTCAACATTTTATTAAATACTGAAATGGAATTTCCCAGGTTTCTTATGGGGCTACTTGAATTTAAAAGAAAGTATTGTTTTAACCCCTTACCGACCGATGATGGGATTATTCTGTCACGGTCTTTCAGTTCATTAACAACGGGTGACAGAATAATTCAGCCATGCTGTACAATGAGCGCTGGTCCATAAAGGGACCAGCACTCATTGAGTTACTGCTGTTGCTGGGTCCCATGGGATCTGAGGCAGACCCTCAACAGCACATTAGGTAGTCACAACACAGTGATCAGTGTGATCGGTGTGATCACAGAGCCGTGACAGCTCACTGTTGTGGAGCTGCGAGCCGGCTCAGTGTGTTACAAACTGATAGTTTCTCTAAAGAGAATACAGTACAGAGATACTACGTATCAAAGCCCCTGTGCATTAAAAGTAACTCCTTAGTGCCCCCCAGTTTAAAAAAAAAAAGTTAATAAAAAGGAAAAAAGTATTAAAAATGTCAAATAAGTTTTTTAAAAATACGTTTAATATGAGAAAAGAAAATATAGTGCAGAGGCAGCTATTAAAGATAAGAGACGAACATACCACATTCTAAAATTGTTCCAAACAAAAATAATATTTCACTCACTGTATTTTGTAAACTATAAAACTTTAAACTGAAATCCCAGACATATGATATACCCTATAAATCAGGACAAATAAAATAATTTATTATGAATGACATTCTGTTAGGTACACATTATTATTGCCAAAACTGTGAAAAGAATGTTTTTTCTTCATTTTGTGTACATTTTTTTATACAAAAATAAGAACTTATCTATATGCGTATGTCACATCAAATTAAAGCAATTTTTTTTCCTTTAAAAAAAACGGTATATAATATGTGTAGGTGCAATGAATGAGTAGGATGGAAATTACGGTTAAACAAACACATTGCAAAAATGGCAACATTTCTCCGGTCCCCAGGACATAATAAATGACGGTTTAGGGCTTTCCCTGAAAGCGAAGAGATTGTTGAAATTATATAAAGTATTGCTGCAACTTGGTAGGAAGAAAAAGGGAGGTAACCCTCCATTCGCTCCGAGTGCATTGAGCTTTCTTTCTTGGTAAATGTGTCGTTTTATAGTGGCAATACAGAACCATTGGGAGCGTTCATCTAATTCAGTTACAAGATAAAATAACACGCCAAGTTTGGAAAATGTACTTCTTACAGAACAGACCCATCATTCTGCCCTGCAACAATACGAGATGCTTTTTCACATTAGGAGCTTTTGAACTCTTACCTACTGATCCAACTCCAGCAGCTCTGAACTGTCCAAGAATGAGAGACTGCTCACTTTCTGCAAGTGCCAGTAATAATTCATACGCCTCAATACACTGCTCACTAAACAAGAAAAGAAAAGGAAAAAAAAAATGAATCAATATCTTGGAACAGCAACTCTATATCATACTAAGACAACCATGGAATGCTAGATATCTCAAGGTATGGTCAAGCCACTGAACCACTGGTGACCTTAATTCATTGCTGCATCATAAATGCGATCGGTGTTACTGTGTCACCTGTGATTAAACTCCAGAATATATGGGGGATAAATGAATAAAACACGCTGCCAGCAAAGAGATTACCCAAGCTCCTACACACAGCTTTAGCAATTAGTTAAAAGAAATAACAGATCTTTCTTGCACCAATAACCACTCGCTCACTTCCCGATCATCTTCCTGTAGAGAGCGGGGACCGACAGTCAAGGAAGTGGATCTCAACAGTATTGTCGGGATCTGTTTCAGCTGTGGCACAGATCTTTCTTGCACCAATAACCAGACTGGGTAAATAGTTACATTAAAGGAGAGCTATGAGGTGAGTGATTTACATTCATCCTCATAGTTAGAGCCGACCTGTGGCAATGAAAGTGTCACACGACGGCCCCCCTCTCTGATCCTCCGGCGCTGACTGGAGGAACGGACTGAGAAGGGCTTAGCTGGTTCTGCTTCTAGATAGGCAGAGCCAGCTGTCACTCACGCAGCTGGTACACTCTCAGTATATAGCAGGGAAATAGCCTGCTATATACTGAGCTTTGGGTCGGATGAGAAGGTTAGCATATGTCCTCCCGTGACCCTTAAGAGAACTATGGGATAAAAAGGTTACCCCATAGTTCCCTTTTAATTCACACTGGAAATCCAGTACACCATCGGTATTGCAGGATCTAAAGTCCTATGGAAGCATGTTTTAGAGTCTACAGCAGACACCATACATAAAAGACAAGTCCTTGGATAATGACGTTTTCTCTAGTTGATAATGTCATTGCCAACACAGCAGACTGAAAAAGTCTTATCTAAGCAATAAATGAGACTGTCAGCTGATGAAAGGGTTCATCACAGAGTAGCCAAGCTGGCTAGGAGCCAGTCAATTAGTATTGAACTTCTATGTTTTGCCTTTGGTCTGTTAAATATACCATGAAAGCATTTTAGTATATTTGTTTGATAAGTGCAAAGAAAACCTGCTGATCCTCAGAGGTGTTCTGTGTCCTTTCCACACTTCTGGTGATATTTCAAACAGCCCTCCTAGTTCTTATCTTGAACTATAGAATGATTTGCCTTTGTGTTGTAGAGACCTGAAAATGATAATGGCTGAGCAGTACTTCAACAAAAGATACTGGGCACGGCAGACACCACCCAGTCCACAAAACATCTGTGTGCGGTCAGTACATTTCATGGTATTTTTCTGTACTTTCAGGGTCTTTAGAGGGTTAAAAGAAGAGGTGATGTGCATGTATATATTGCCTCGAATTAAATGCGCTAAAAGTTAATGGTTGACTTTCTTTAGGGCGTAAGTTTAAACATTTTCTATCCTTCATCAATGTATGAGCAATGTTCTGTATGTTTTGTCTACTTTAAACAAGTGTTTGAAATGTGTATTTTTGAAGTGACAACAACCCTGACCACTCAAATTCTTTTATACTGTGGCTATGGGGGAATCGCCCACTATTATCTTATATATCTAGGGGGGTGTCAGAATGCAATATTACAGAGGCAGGATTCCCTCATCCATGTTGTTTAATGTGGATGGGGGAATCAAGCGGTTTTTTTTCCTCGCTCAGCCTGCATGACTGAACAAGGAAAAACTACTGGTGTATGGCCTGCTTTAGTAAACCAAACAAAGTGGACAGGCCACTTAAAAAAATAATACCCACTTCCCAGTGAAAAGCTACTCCCGCTCGGTTCTGGTGCATTTACTGAATGCAGCCAGAGCATGTATACCTCTTCTATGGATTATATCTATAAGTCTAAATGAAGGATTACCCAGATGGTCGAGTTTAGATGAATGTATTGTGTTATTGGTGTTCTCATTAGATTTATTCCAGTTGTATCTGTATGTATATGTACCATGTACATGCTACCTTTGCGACAATAAAGAATTTATAAAAAAAATAAAAAATAAATAATAATACAAGTTTCTACTGGCAGACAAAGTAAATCATTCAGTTCAATATAATTTAGTACAGCAAACCCTCCCTCCCTGATTGCGCTGGTGGTGCCAAATTTGCTAATGGCATTCCAGTTGTGCTGGGCAGGTCGCAAAAAAACCTTTTTCAGCGATTGCAGTGCGGCAACCGCACACGATCGCGCGGTCCTGGGAATGCGCGTCCCCGGGATCGCCCAGGTCTGTACCAGCCCTAAGTGGAACTCCTCTGCACTCATGAGAAAAAAAATGTGTATACGTATCTTTCTTTCAGTTGCCTTCAGCCAGGTCTGATTAAGTCACAGGTCCTCTTTGCCCTCTTCTTCTCATGCAACAATGTTGCGCTTCTCACTGTATCATTCTCCCATGAGTTCAGGGCAAAGTCTTGACACCCTGGGCTCATAGGAAATTATTTAAATTATGCTGGCTGTCATGAAACCCGGAAGAGGAGTGACACTGGATAGGTAAATCTTCAGGGGACAGTGCCAGAGATCATGTGATTATAGCAACTGGAGCTGCTTTTTTTAAATTCTTAACCACTGCTGAGGGATCCAATATTGTGTTGGCCCAAGCTAGAATTGGGTTTTAAAGATTGTGCCTCGTAATTCATAGTGCATGCTTAAAACCCCCAAAACATTGGTCTGCAATACAGTCATTCCAATTCCAAGCAAGTATCAGTCAGTCTGAAAAGCTGTTGATGGCCCATGCAGCGGCGAATTAATGTAACAAGTAACCTTTCCTGGCCAACAGCCAGTCAGTGTATATCACTGAAAGGGTTAAATTCAAATACAAATCAGCAGTGCCATTTTTTCCCATGAACAGAAGACTGTTTTCCCTTGAGCAAGTAGCCTTCTGGTGCAAAGCAAACAGCATAGCATTTTACAGATAACGCGTGATAACAGGTGCTCCCAGACCCACCTGTACTGCAGAGCCAGCCTCAGGGCAGTAGCATTCGATTCATATTTCCCAACCAGCATACTCATTCTCTCCGCATTGTTCTTGCACTCCTCCAGTGTTATCGTCAACAAATCATTCTGGGATTTTAAGTGCTCGATTCGACTGCAGAAGAAAAAAAATCAATATTTTATTCTCTTATGTAAATCACATATTAGTTTTTTGTTTTTTTTTTAGAATAAACTGCACTCCATTGAGAGCAACAAATGCAGAATGAACTCTAGATCAATAAGCACTTAGGTGCTATAATCATAATTATGCAGGCCTATTGTTAAAAAGCGCAGGTCCAGCATACTTTTAACAGAGAACATTTCCAATTGAAGCCTTTGTTTGGAAAGCTGAGTTAGGGGTACAGCTCTGCTGGAAAAGTTTGCCTATTACTATATGAAGGTAAGTTCACTATGTCTCAATATAAACAATCTGAAAAACACACTTAGAAAATGACTCAAACTTTTTTTTGCAGGATGTTAAAAAAGCAAAACACCAAAACAAAATTTAGTTAGGTTTGTAAATTAGATCTATAAATGTAAGCTAGTACCAGTTGAGGTGTAAATTTCAATTGTTAGGGCCCATTCACACCAAAATCACAAGTCAATGGAGGGTCAGTTGTCTTGCAGTTTCAACCTCCGTTGACCCCTGTTCCATTGCGTTTTCCTGGGTGAACAAACATCTATTTTTTTCCCTTGCATTCCATTGTGAATACATTTGTTTTTGTTCCGTTACGCTGAAAAAAGTATAGTATGCGCTACTATTTTTTTTCATCACACTGCAACTGAACGCAGCGGTGTGTACTGGTCCATTCACACCTATTCATCGCACTGCAACAGAACAGATCGCAGGCGTGAACTGGCCCCATTCATTTTTCGTTGCCCTTGCATTAGCATCCGTTTCAAAGTGGATCGCAACGCAATGGTTCTGGTGTGAATGGGGCCTAAAAGTTAATACCCATCAAATTAGTTTCAGATCGGACCAAAACCCTAACTAAATCTTAGAGGGTTATTCACAAAGGAGATGAAGGATTATGCCAAAGCATCAGCTAATCTTTCGGCTCACTTAGGCCACCAGAGCCCTCCAGTTCAGCCAAACCAAAGCAGCCGAATGGCTCAGCCAAAGCGAGCACATATGCTTCGGCTCGGCTGAGCCATAGCCGAAACGGGGAGAACGGTCTGCCGAAGAACTTTGTGATGCGGTCTATTATTCTGTACTTGAGCATTACACACACTGTCAAAGGCTCATCATTCATCATGCACATCACTGAATCATAAGAAAATACTCATCATGAAGAGCTGATCAAAAGTTTGTACTGCCAGATTGACTTGCTTCTGGAGACCAACTAACACATACATTTCCTACTGTTCCCTCCTGATGATATAATAAAGCCGCAGGCTGCATTTCCTAAGATAAGTACGATGATACATATATAATAACATTTCTAATGCTACGTTAATATGCCAGAGCTTGCCCTAGCTGGACTCCACCCTCCTCTCCTTCCGCATATCCTCTTCCCTTCCCCTCAAAACACATATAGAGATCGGGTGACAAAAAGGCCTTTCAATTCTAGCTCCTTACTAACAGCATGGCTTGGATGAGCTGATGAATTCCCCATACCCTCTGCACCTTTCAAAAGATCCAAACCACTGCAAATCATACATTGTACTTGCTTAAACCTGTACTGAACCTATCTCTGTGGACCCAAAGACATTATATAGAGGAGTGTACCCCTTATCGCAGTACATCTCTTTGGTTTAATGTATATATGTGCATCACACTCACTATTTTTTTGTTTTCTTTTGTAAAATCGAATACAGTTTATGCTTTAATAATATCTAATCCAAGGGTCTAATCTTTTGGTAAGGAACAATGAGAACATGTAACCAGGCAGATTATGGTGAGGAGCCAAATATCCCGCCACTAAATATGTGGGAAGCATATTACAACCTTCGTAGAACAGAAGGTAAAAACATGTCTCACCAAATAAAGTATTTATTCCTGATTTTAGGACATTGGGCAGAGCTATGCAAATCCCCTCCTGTGCCTTCATAACATTTGGTTTACAGCCCGGTACAGCCCAATATAACATTATGATTCTAAACTGCACACTGTACTCAATGTCATTTAGGTACAAGTAGAAAGAAAAAGAACCCCCCTTTGTTATTAACCAGTTGACATCCGCGGTGTTATACCCCCTTCCCATCCAGGCCATTTTTCAGTATTCAGCGTTGCGGTACTTTGACTGACATTTATTCCGTCATGCAGCGCTGTACTGAAATGAATTTTATACCCTTTTTTGGGGACAGATAGAGCTTTCATGTGAAACACCCGGTACCGGGTGTTCGCATTGGACGGGTCTTTTCTGCCCGTGCGTGCCCGCTAGGGGGCGCGCGCGAGCAGAAAAAAAATGCCGTCTGGCGACGGCAACCCGCGAATGCGACAGTGCCGTCCGTCCGTTTTTCTACTACGGGCGGACGGCAACTGGTTAAATTATAAACAGCCATTGTGTTCAATAATCTACCATGCTTCTTAGTTGTCAATCTAGTATTCTCTGCTTTCAAAATAACAAAAATATTAGAACACAAGCTCGTGAAAATCAAAGGCTAGACCAAAAATTACTTTAAGGCCTCATGAACACTAGCCTGCTGCGTTTAAGCACAAGAGAAGTTATCTGGTAAGTACAAACAACTTCATGCTTCCATGATGACTTTTTCCTGTGTCGGGCTTAGCTGGGTTTACATGCATTTCGCTGTGTAAAACCGGCCAAACTGACCCAGGATCAAATATCTAGTTTGGATAAACTGAGCTAGACTGAATGCACCTAGACGCTGCTGGACGTCTAAAGGTGCCCATACACTGCACGATTATCGTACGATAATCGTATGCGATCGGGTTTTCGTACGATAATCGAGCAGTGTGAACGGAGACGTGCGACCGTTTCTACTGTACGGTCGCACGTCTTCTGTCCAACCAGCGTGTTCGAAAACCAGCCGGGAATCGTACGATTCTCGGCTGGTTAGAACGGTGCTCGGAAGATAAATGCTGAACGGGCCGGTGTGCGCACGCGCACACTGCCCGTTCAGCATTGCGGTCATCGGAAGCCCGCCCCTCAGGAGGGCGGGCTTGCGATGATCGAGAGTGCGATCTGCCTGTCCAAGATAGGCAGATCGTACGTTTTTTTAATCCCTTTACAACCATCGCAAGACTAAAGTCTTGCGATGGTTGTAGAGTGTATGGCCACCTTAAGTGTGTATTCGGTCATAGAAAAGCATTACGAGTCCAGGTGCATTTAGAAATGAGATCTAAAAGCACCTGAACACGTGTCAATGTGTGCATGAGGCCTAAAGTGTATCTCCACTTTTGCAGACAAATTTGAGAAGACCCCTCTTTATGTTTGTAAGACTCCCGTGTTAGACTATAATTTTAATACAAATTAGTAAACAGAAGATTGTAGTGCATCACAGGTGTGAGCTTGGAGTGGTGGATATTTTACAACACACACAGGGACCATAGGGAACAAAAGTATTCACCCCCCAGAAGGAAGGACTGTCAGCACCAATTCAGAGATGATTTGAGGATCTACAGACGAGTGATGCTTAGTGTCACTTTAAGCAAAACTTGTTTTCAATTTTTATTAAGCTATGCAAATATGCAACAAATATAAACATAGACGTCATCCCAATCATCTGCAAAAGTGGAAATCCACTTTTTAAATTTAAAGCAAACAGTGCAATAAGAACTCTAGATACATACTAACTGTAAACACTATACTAACTGTAAACACCTTTTAAATACAACTTTTTGGGGAGTACAGACATAAGCTTTATCCGGAATATACCCAGGGCAGCTGGGACATATGATGCTTACACTTTGTTCTTAGTCGGCTCCCTGTTGGAGGCATCCATATTACATGGAGAGGTATTAACCGCTCCAACAAGACCTTCTTAATTTGAAGGCGTAATGGCTCCACTATTCCAGAAAGTAAGCTCATAAAATTAGTAGATTAACTTATTTTATTATCTTGCATCCATAAGTTTTCTTTTCATCATTACATATAGCAAGCCACAAGCCTTGTCTGGCTCACCACACGTCACTGGTAAGGACTTCTGCAAAAGCGCAGCCTCTCATTTAAACAGCTTATCAATTTCTAACACCCTCATTTTGATTGCTTATAAACATCAGTCCAAAGTATCTAAAACCATGCATAGCCTTTTATATGTATTCTAGGGATGTAATGCCCCTAGTTTGTAGCATTTGTATAGAACCACCACATAAAACAGCAGCCAGAAAGTAATTAGCTCTCCCCAAAGGATAAAGCCTGGAAATCTCTCTTCTGCTCACCTGGAATCCAGATGGTAGGGATGACAGCGCTCTCACTCATAGATTAAGAGCAGATTTATCACTGCTCAAGAGAGCTTTTCTGATGTTCCCTACCTTTATTTTACTGATTGTCAGACATAACGGCTTGCTACAAACAGTTACATCTGGATGGTGTGCAAAGCTTTCTATAAAAAAACAAGCTCACTGGGAATACAGAACGTTTCCCTTTACATCTCTGCGTGGTCGCTCTAGTAAGGTTATGTGTCATTACTTCCAGCGTTAAAAGCAACAGACGTCACCAGCAATTGCTGATAGTATTTCTTTAGCTGTTCTTGCTAAATGTCACATCAGAATTGTAACAAATAAATGCCCACTGTTTGATGTGTTTTATGGTCTGAAAATTGTTACAGTGCTTTATTCCTGGCTAGAAATACAAGTTGTTTTATTCTTCTGAACTAAATAAACCGACAGCATGTATTTGGGTGGCTTAATTTTGTTTCTTTTCTTTTTGTATATCCTAAAAAAATCCAATAAAGTGTTAGTTGTCATTATACAGCATCTACGAGAACAGCTCGAACCTGATGGCTATTTTTTTTTCTTTTAAGTTACAATTATATTAAATTATAGTTGCTTTCCCTTTGGTCCCCTGCCATACCAATCGTTCATGGGCTCAAGGACAAGAACCCATGTGTAAGTCAAAACTTGGAGCTTACATAGGGCTGACGACTCTCTCTGCTCCTAGTGACATGTTCGAATGACTAAGCAGATAGGGGAGTGAGTTCATATTCTCCCATACTTGAAGCAGTGTCTTGAAGGTATATCACGTAGGCTTCCACAGGTGAAAAAAACAGCAGGGGAACAAAGTCAATATGAGAAAGTGCTGCAGACGCATTCACTAATTGTGCAATGTGTGCAAACCAGTAGATGTTCATTAAAGTGACACTAAACTCAGGAGTTAAATCTTAAAAATGCATTGAAGCACCCAAACTATTAACAGAAATGTAGCTTATTTGTGCGTCATTAGCTGTAGATCCTCAAATCACCTCCGAGTGGCTACTTTACAACACACACAAGGACCACAGGGAACAAAAGTAGCCACCCTCCAGAAGGAAGAACAGTGTCAGCACCAATTCAGAGATGATATGAGGCTATACAGCTAAGTGAAACACAAATAAGCTACATTTTTGTTAATAGTTAAGGTACTTAAATACATTCGTAAGATTTAACTCATGAGTTGAGCTCACAAAAGATTATGGGCAGACTGCCTGCTAAGCAATCAACCAATCTTTGATAAAACACATACATGCTGTTCTTTGGATAAATAAATTGACAAATATAGTTGTTACAAAACAAGAAGTGGAGGGAAATATCCCAACAGAACAAAAGAGAATAATAAAACCTGGCCAGGTATAAACTCACATCTCATTTCCAAGCATATTGCCATAAAATGACAATGTGGTTTCAGAAGATTTCTCCACATTGCTCTGCAAACAGCTGGCAGTCTTTGGAGATTATGACAGGTCTGAATTTTGCTTAAATTACATTTTTTTAAAAAAGGACTAGTCTGAGCAATATCACAATGCACTATAGCATGTACCTATTTAATCGCTCGGTTTCCACCTCAAACTCTCGGATTTTGCTTTCTGAGATGGCAGAACCATGGGAGTAAAGGGTTTGAAATATCTCTTGAATATTGGAGCAATCTTGCAAAGAATGTGCCAAGTGTTCAGCCACACTGCTAGATACCTGTAGAACATATGAGATCAAGATGAACCAATCACTAGGAAAGAAATGTTAAACTTAATTGACAGCTAAAGACTGAAAGATGGTTTCTCCTCTTATACTCACACCAATGCTGCTGATCTCAGAACCCAGAACCGGCCTTTCTGAAGAGGAGGACTCGGATCTGGTCTTAGACAACTTAACCCGCTCTGCAATCTGCATAAAATTTCCAGATGTTTATGAGGAACACAGAACAGTACTAAAAGTGAAAATCAAGACAAGACTAGTTTTTTTTAACTTTCAGTTAAAGTGGGGAAAATCTGACCGGTTTAACCGTACTCTGTGACCCTACTGCGGACATATTCAGTGTTCTTTGTGTGCTTCATTTTGGACCCAGTTCCTGTCTTGGCGATAGACCTGAAAGAGGTTCTAAACCTTCCCCACTAACACTAAAAGAGAAAGTTTAAATTATACTTTATTTCATGTGCTCCCTTATCCAATCCATAATGTGGAGAAGATAAGTCAAATTACAGACTGCTTTTTAAGATGATTACTGAATGAAAATGAAGTGTGTCTGCGAGTTAAGGCAAAACTAATGTGTATTTCCACTTTTGAAGCCAAATTGGAATAACACTTTTTATATTTGTTATTATTATTATTATACAGGATTTATATAGTGCCAACAGTTTGCGCAGCGCTTTACAAAATGGGGGAGACAGTAGTGTTACAATACAATTTCAGTACAATAGGGTTAGGAGGGCCCTGCTCGTGAGAGCTACAATCTAGTAGTCACATGACATACATGAAGATAAAAAAAAAAAAAAAATGCTGCTTACACATTACTTGCCCGTTTCTGAAAGAAACACTTTTCTCTAAACTGAAGTTTTTTTTTGTGGAACCCAAGTAGAAAGGGAAGGGAGGAT